CTGCATCTCCAATTCCTTTTAAGTTCCAACCAAGACTGATAACACTTGAGGCCCTTGGAGTATGAGCCTGCCTTCAAAATAAAATCCAATCTTGCTTCCTAGCATGCTAATTAAGAGTACATGGCTGATTCAGGAAGCCCTACAATAGCAAGAGGAGTGCTGCAGGCATAGAGATGGCAGGGTTTAGCCTGTTGTGAGTATACAATATTAAAAACGGGCAGATGTCTCATAAAGAGGATTATGCCAGCACTCTTGACCTTTCTGCAAGAACAGGAAAAAAGCAGGAGGAAAAACAATAATCAGTTTTTATTTATCTTGAAAGTGCTCTTCCTTTTTAGGCATGAAGATACTGTTGTAGAGAGCTGAGGGGGGGTCACTGTCACCCTTCCATGTCACATCAGCACACGCTTACCAGCTGCTTGGGACCAAGCCTGTGAGCGGATTGACACACTCAGACCTCGGCCAGAGACACCTCCCCTGGGACTGCACATGGGAGCATGGGTCACTGCCTCCCATAGCTGTTTTCCATCTCAGCCCTGTGTTTTGTTTTATTTTTGTTTGGTTTGCTTTGTTTTGCTGTGCTTTGCTTTGTTTGCCGATGGGTGAGAGCCAGGGGAAAATGGTGCCCTGATGCAGGCTCCCTGCCTCATCATCGCTACTGAGGGCTGTGCAGAGGCATCAGCTCAACCCAGCATAACCCCCATGATGGAGTACTTACTCTCTCCTAACAGACTTGCTGGTGTTACTTTCCAACATCCCAGCATTCCCATGTGAAGAGCAATTAGCCTACAACTCATACTGCAATGGAAAATAATAATCCTAATCAAAATAAATAACAGGAGTACTAAATTTCCAAAACTTTGGCTTTACAAAGTACAGCCATGACAACTAAAGATAACCTGTGGGTGTATCCAAGGATTCTGAGTCCTGTTCTGTATTCGGTCACAGGCAGTACAAGTATGTGTCCCTTTTATAACACACAGAAATCCATTTAATGCTTAATCCAGAACATTAAAGCAGCTTCATCACTGTTTTTTGGTTTTGGTTGCTTAGGACAATTTTGAGAATGGCCCACGCTGAGATTTGCTAAAAATTAGAGACTTCTTTGTGATTTTATGGAAACTTCCTTTCCAGTGATACAACCTCTATTTTTGTACCTTGGACATTGAGGGAAACCCTTTGTAGCTGAGATAATCTTTCCTGGTATGCACATTTGTGGCTAGACCCATGTGTGTACAGATACCTACTAACATTAGAACTGGACCCGTGTCTTTGTGCTGAGCCTTCAAAACAGATTTAGTCAAAGAAAGCAAGTGTGTCAGATTTTTGTGGTGCTTAAATAGTTTGAAGGATGTCTTTGCTCTAAAAGTACTTTTTAATGAATTTGTTTTCAATAAGTTGGATCCAGCCCCCCACTGTAGGTCTGAAGTCAGTCTGTTTATTCACTGTATTTCTTTAGGCCTGGTGCTGTTGGGAATAGTTGATTGTGTTGGCCCTCTAAGTGTAAACCTAACCAACATTTGTACTTCATAAATTTTAAAGCCAAGGGAAAAAAAGACATTGTGTTCATGTGGCCTTTTCAGAGACAGAGCATTTTCTTTATCTAATTCTTATGCTGAGTCCAGTCGCTTTAGCTGAATTTAGACTTCTTTTAGGAAAAATGAAAAATCTACCTTAAACTAAATTTTTCAGTGAAATACTCCACCAGAGCTGATAGACTGTTGTAATGGATAATTGCCCTTAATTATAGTAATTACCCTATTTCTAATCTAAATATGCTTAGTCTCCTCTTGTATTGGAGTACATTCCCAAGTAATTTACAAACTCTACCAGTATCCATCACCCTATTTTGGGGGGAAAGGGGAGGCCACTGTTAAAAAACACATTTCTCAGCAGTGACTTTCCACTTGTAGTTAGATCTTGAGATATACTAGTTCTCTGCCTTTTAACTCAATTTACGTGTGCCACACTTACCGCGTAGCTTTATAGTTTCATAGCCCTAACATCATGTGGGATTAAGTCAAATGCTGTACCAAAGTCTGAAGTTACCACACCAGCATTTGGTAAATACATCTGTTTACCAAACCAATAATCTCCTCAGAAAATATCTGGTTAGTTTGACATGGTATGTTTCCCAAACCTATGCTGTTTAGCATCAATTATTTATTTTAATACTTTATTAATTGAATGAGATCTTCATTGTTTTGGCAAGGTTTCTGTCAGGATGACAGACTGTGATGGCTTAGCTCACCCTGCTTATCTTCTTTAAAATGTCATCACTTCCCTACCACTTTCCACCCAACCGTATGTTCAACATGCAGAACAACACTTCAGGGCTTAGGAGAGAAAGTACATTTTCCTCCAGTTGTTTTACACTGTGAAAATCACTTTCTCTGTTCAGCTGATTTTGAGACCAGTGAAGAGCAGCCAGGAATGAGTCAAACTTGAAGGCAATCATGCTCTGAGCAGCTGAAGCCACTTGCATGAGACTGGCGCTGGATGCTGAGGGAGCAAACACCATGGCCGGCCTCTCCAGCCCTCAGCTCTCTGTAGCCCCATGATGACGATGAAGGAACCCCCTGTGCTTAGGGATGTCCTCCACTCCCCAAATACACCTCTCTGAATGACAGCAGTGCATGCTTTGTTATTTCTTTACATGACAAAGTAAAGGATTCTGAAAAAAGGATTCTGATTCCATTGTGAAAGGAAACAGAACAAAAGGTGAAGGGAACAGAGCTAGGTGGATTAAGGGTCACCTCCACATCAGCAATTCTTATTTTCCTGTCATTAATAACGGGATATAGGCTGTCAGGAATCATATTCAATATTCAGTCCCACATGTATCTGTGTGTTCTCCATGTAAAAATACTGTGATAAACCATCAAGGAGCATGTGCTCACAGGCATGTGACAAGCCTGGCTTTATACCCTGCCCCTGCCACTTGTCAGCTTCATGTGTTGTGCCGAGGAGCAACCCTGTCTCACCATCTAGGTTTGCTTTGCGAATAGTTTGGTTGATCCCACCTTGGATGAGAAACAAGGACAAGATAAGGATGGCCTTACTTGCCTCATTTTTTATGGTCTCATCTAATTTTACGTGGCATCTGGGGATGCATGTGTTGCTTCGGATTTCACTGCAAGCTTTTGTGTTTGTCAGGGCAACACCAGGAGGGTGGAGTTGGCCCTGAGGCTGCCTGCTTCTAAATGCATACATTTTGTCATCTTTGAAATACCCTCTGTTCTGAAATCTTAGAAAATATATTGAAATATTGAAAACTTTCAGATAATATTAAAAACATTTAAAGCATTTAGCTTTATCACGACACAATAAGTAGTTCATCACCCACTGAAAACTGACTTCTACAGCTGATATAGTGATAAAGTAGAAATTCAGTTGCTGATATAGTCTGGGAGTGGACACGTCAAAAGCCAGGAACCATTAGTTTTTCAAATCACTTAATTTTTCAGCTTGATTTTTCTCACCCATAGGGAAAAAAAAAAAAAACAAAAGCCCAAACACAAAACCCTCCACCCTCACAGTCAATATACGTACAATAAATTGAAGGCAGTATTTCCTAGACAAGTGTGATCAGGGTGATAGCATGTCTTGGATGCTGATGCGTATGAGAAAAAAAGGACCACTTACGTGGCACCAAATACTGAACTGCCTACCAATTATCAAGCTGCTGGCTTTATTATTTTGATTCCTTCTTATAGTTCCTTACCTAGTCTTTTTCTAAGGTGGTTCTGTAGATTTCTGTGGGTGAATGTTGCCAATTCTTCTATAGATCATGCAATTAGAAAAAAATAATATTTTCTCAGTAATTGTGTACTTCAGCATTTTACCTAAGGAGTGTTAACCCTAAGAGTACGTGTATGTCTTTTCCTAAGCAAACACAGGAGGCACAGGAGATGTCAGCTCACACTGAATGATGCGGGTGAGATGACATATTTTGACTTGTGCATCTATTTGTGATGTGTATAACAAGTTCAGAATTTAGGATATATCAGCTCAAATAATTGGACTCAAAAAAAACCCCCTTTTGCCATATTTAGCTCTCTCCCCCACTTAACTGAAAATGTAGATTTAGACAGTCCCATTGACTGATTAATTATTAAACTTTATTTAGGAAGACCCAAATTCTCATGGATTGTGTGGTTGTGTGCACTGTGTTAAGGGTCTCTTCCTCCTCTGAGTACACTGGTAGCGCTCATGCCATTGTCTGTTGCTCGCCATCCTTCAGGAAATAAGTGTTCCCTCAAAACATGGCCCTGAAGGAAAAGATTTGAAGTAAATGCCACCAGTATAACTCTTGTTGCAAAATATTGCTTGTTTTGAGTGGTACTTACACAGACAATTCTAAATCGAATAAGAAAAATGTAATAATAACTGCTTATATTTTCACGGGTTAACACTTTTTAATGTTGACATTTCTTAACTTGGACATACAATTCAAAGACAATGTAATGGGAAAGAAGCTTGTCAACGATAGTCCTCTAAAAGCACTTAATAAATGCAATAAAGTTTCTATTCTTTTAAAACAAGCTTCCCTTCCTTGCTCCAAGGTTACAATGATAGCAGCTGCAATACTGATTGGTAGGCACTGCTGCAACTCCCTGATAAACCTCCTCTAATGGAGTTTGAAAGCCTACCCTTATCAGTGTAACATCTCTCTCTAAAACTAAATCTGATGCAGCAGGAGATGGCAAATGCAGAAGGAGAAGTTTTCCATGGGTAGCAGAGTTGAGCCTTTCTCCTTCATGCTGAGCATGTGGCCAGAACTGCCACAGAGAACGTGGTCGTCTGGGGACCATGATGAGAAATATCTAGTACCAAACTATTTGATTGCTTGGAAGAAAAATGGGTCTTAAATGTGAAATATACTCTTTGCGCTTATCTGTGGCCCTGGCATAGTGCTATTGCATGGGTGACTGAAGCGTATCTGATTATACACTGCTTATTTGGGAGAACTCATGTATTTTTCCACACTCTTTTTACAGCTCCCAAGTCTACCTTTTGTCCCACTGAAGAGACCTGGTGGCCAGGCCTGGTTATTATCATTGCAGTATGCTGTGCCACATTAGTGTTCCTCTTTGTAGTTGTCATCATTTGCTACAAAGCCATAAAAAGGTAAGTCTCCAGATGCTTTTACTGTGCTTAGGGCAATGCAACCCCACAAAGGCTGGGCCAAGACTTGGTTGGCACTTTGTTTTGTTTAAAGGCATACTAAAGGCAAAATGTATCCTGTAGTCAACATATGTTTTCATTGGAAAGTCACTGTGTGTACCATAACCTGCCTGTGTAAAGGATGACGTTTAATGCACAATCACGGGCATGAGGAGGAGAAAACCTAGAAATGGGACAGTGCCACAATGTTCAGATTAATATGAACTCCTCAAAGTCAAATTGCTGGAGGTTGCTGGGGAATGTCATAGCTTTGCTCTGGCCAAGTGTCGAGGCAGAAACACCATCCTATCCAGTTCTGGTAGTATTCAAAATTTTTGGCCCAGGCCCACCACTAGTTGTAGCATTTCAGATTGATGCAAGCTCTTGTAGCCCAAACTCTAGGGTAATTTGTGTAGTTTTTAATTTGGAGACTCTACTTCTAATTTATTTGTGCTGCAAAATTATCAATTGCAAAATCAATTTCAAAACCTCTCTCTTTGAATTTAAAAGCCTATGTGAAACCTATGTACAACACAGTTTGTAGTAACCATTTCAGCTCCCCTACCGCTGTCTTTACAATAGATGTGCTTGCATAGGCCTCAGGTAGTTAGAAATTGTTGACTTTGGTTACCTCGGAAAATGGGAGTGGGAATAATTTCTTCACCTAAATAATATTTCATATTTTGAGCAGAAAATCCATAACTCTCATGAGTACTCCAGTGGCACCTGAATCACAGTTTGGATTAAATTATATTTATTCACCTTTAGGAATTTTTTGCAGGGAAAAAAAAAAGACAATAAAATACCTTTCATGAGCAATGTTATCTGCATGCAAAGCAACAGCAGAGTTTTGATGAGCCTCAGCAGGGATATCACAATGGTGGAGCACTGGACATGCTTTATGGTTGTCTGAAAAATATATGCAGGATTGGAAGGATAGTATATCCAAGAGCTTCGAAAAGGGAGAGTTCAAACAAGAAGACAGGAGTCTGTATCTAGTTTCTTATTAAATTTACATAAGTATGTTTGCTATTCTAGTTTAGCTAAAATGAATGCTTATTAGTTTTGAGGAACTGGAAGGCTTTCACTCTGTCTACTGAAACTTCTTAAAAGTCGTCTATGGAGGACTGAAATTGGAGTTGAATTGGATTGGTAACACAGTGCAGAATTTCTTATTTGTACTTCCTAAACTATCATTGCCTGTTCATAGGGGATTGGTTCAATTCCATATGGAAAGATGTGTTTGTTTCAAAAACAGCTATTGTATTTGTCTACCTAGTGCCAAACTGTGAATGATTTCTGCCAAGGCTGCAAAATATACCTACAGGAGCAGTAACTCTCCAGGGCAACTTGTGCCTAGCAAGGAATTGTTCTTCAAATTTGTTCTGATGCCGGTAGATGGGAGGTACAGAAAAGAAATTTAAACAGACAAATTTAGAGCTGCCTTGAAAAGGCTGTGGGAATTCACATAACAAAGTCTTATGCTTCATGTCGATGAAGAATAATACAGATACTTGATGAAGACACCCATTATTTGTCAACAGTGTGAATATCAATGTACAAGTCAGCTGCTTGAAGAGGCATTAGGCTCAGAGCAAAGTGAAAATTCCTCTTAGATCTTCTTATTGTTGACATTCACACTGCTGACAAATGCTAAGCTGGAAACTGCTCAGATGTGGGACAGACAGCTATAAAAGAAAAGCTTATTAATTATATTTTTACAGAGTAACTAGAGCATTTCTTTTCATCAATGAGTCCTTCCTAAAACAACTCTGTTAAAAGGATGCCCTAAAGTGTCTGGCAGCATTCCCTGCCAGTTCAGGTTTCTTGATCCTCTATAAAAGATATCTATTGATAAACGCTGGAAAATGAGATAAGACGCTTCACAAGAGCAGCATCTCTGCCTTCGACACAGAGTATTATCCCATATTGTTTAGCTGAATTGGCTTTAGCTAGTGCGAGAAATCCTTCACTCTAATTTTTGCTGGGAGGTAGAGGTGGATAGCGAATGAGTTAGGGGATTAATCTGTGTGATGCTGAAGCCAAGAGTCCCTCCAGTGTGTTCCCAGCCTCTGGCTCCATAACCGTGCTCTGCCCCATCCTTTCTCACACTCCATCCCACCAGCTCTCCTCTGCAGTCCAGCTCCCGGGACTTTGTTCCTGCACATCTCCTGGAATTGGGACCTCTGTCACTGCATCGCAAACAAATCTGTCTCCCACCTCCAAGGCAGTATGTTGTCTGCTTGCTTATAATATACCCATCGCCTTTAGATGTGGATGCCACCCACTCATCCTCCAGCTGCATCTAGGTTGGGTTGTGACCTTGATATGGCACAACCCTCTTCGTCCAAGGAAAGTCACATGCTGATTGCCTTGTAGAAATCAGAATCCAGCCTGAAGACCCTGCCTCTGCCTGCCATGACTCTTTCTTAGCTCTGGGTGAGGACAGCCTTGTGTCTCACCACTGGACAGCATCCTTTCCTTCTTGCACCATGTCAGGCATGTCTGCAGGTTTCAGAGGTGTCCCAGCCTGGACAGCTGTCATGTCACTGGTCACTGTGGGGGTGACCAGGAGAGTGGCAAAGTAGGCTGAGGACGAGATTGTTCACAGCGCCCATCACAAACTGACCCTTGAAGCCCTCTCCTGCTCAGCTTCCTCCCTCTGAAACAGATATCAAAGCATTTGCTTACACCTCAGGGATGTCACTGAGATTCATCACCTACTTTCTGATGAGCAGTGTAAATGTGAAAGTGGCAAGAATTATTATCCAAACATACACTTCCTAAAACCTTTCATGAGACTGTCACCCTCCAGCATTTTTAGACAGGATTTTTTTTACCATTTCGTCGGGCAGCAGGGGAGGGAGATCTATGTCTTTGCATTTGGAAATCCTCATTCTGATGACAGCCTGGGCTGCAACAAAAACTGGAAGTGCCACTAAACATGAAAACTGTCTTGGCAGCAGCAGATGGCTTATATTTTTTTTTCTTGCAACAGGAAAAACATTTAAAAATTATCACCAGCCTATCTGCTAAAAAAGAGGTAAACCAAAATAAAATTACCAAATACCTACTGAACATGAGTTCTGATCAGATGACAGTACCAGTTTTACCCATGGATAGATTTATTCTTTGTGTACATCTCTCTATATCCTGTGTATCCCATCTATAGTAGATCCTTTGTATCTACTATAGTAGGCATATATGGTGTGTGTATATATATATATGCATATATACATATATATATGTGGTGACAAATCCACAAGTATTACAGGAGAGTATTGCAAAAGCCTAACTGAAATAACTTGATTTCTCTGCTTGTTAGTCTTCCAAATGAAGAGGGGTTTACAGCCTGACCGTCAGTGCTATCTATATATTCTTTAGTCTAAAGCATATGGCTCAGCTTAATTAGCAGTGTAAGCACTGAAGAGATGATGAAGAGTGAAATAACAGCAGTCATCTGATTGTAGGGTGTAGCAAGAGTTAAATGTTTTAGCAGGAAAGTGCAGGCAGAGATTTATTTGCCCGGAACTTGGATCTGTTGCATTAATCCCTCACTTCCATAAGAATCAAATCTGAAATAGAAAGAAAAAGAAAAATCCTTTTGTGCTTAAGTTAAAATCTCATTTACGGGTTTCAAAGGGCCAGATCCAATCAAACTCTCTCATGTCTGCTTTTCTGTAGCAGAAAGAGAGGGAGTTACTGCTCTCAAGGTATCGTAACTCAACTGTATTTTTATTCAATCTGTATAAAAACTCTCTCCTGGAGTAGTTGGTTTTCCTTAAAGAAAAACTAAAACTTTGTCATCTCACCAATTTAGGCACTAAGGCTTTGTGATAAAATACAATGTAGTGAATGGCACTTCTTTGTATAAAATAACTACCAAGCCAGCATGCTGCTATTTCCATCCCTGCATCTCCCCTGGAAGTGCTCAGGTTCGCCCAGTATGAAATGGTCATAAGAAATGCTGAAGTCCATTCCAGGGGACGGATTTGACCTCTCTGGTCCATGAGAGAACTAATACCAAAATGTATCTATCAATCAGCTTTAATACTCTTAGCACAGCCGGACAGGTTAAACTCTTGGGAAAATACATATGGGGCAATTCTTTGAAGGCTCTTAAAGCAGCCTCTAAATTTCCTATGTGTGATGCTGGTGTCTGCAGTGTTGGGCACTGCATGGCCAGCACACTGGGTACAGATGTGTGCTGCTGCATAGATCAAGCACCAGAGGAGATCTCATGATATTGTTGGGCTGCAGCATGGTTACATGCATGGTGGTAACACACTCAGCGTGGCAGTGCGGAAACAGCTATTTTCTCTGGCCTTGGTGACAAAGGGATATTTCCTCTTTTAAAAAATGTGACTTTTCTCTTAATAAACTTTTCCATGGCACATTAGAAAAATTTTAAGGATTGGCACTTAGTGCTGGCAGCAATCACAGTCTGTGACATTTGCAGATTTCTAGGACAGGCTTAATCACTCCCTGGCCAGGGCTCAGACCCACTGTAAGCAGTGGGACTTTCCTGCTCATTTCGTGGATAAGGAAAGCAATCTCACAACCAGCTATTTCTGTAACACATGGCAAGTCTGAATGAGCAGATGAATAACTGGTTCAAAATCTGGAATATCTCCAGGTATTTCTCTACCACGTCTGTCTG